TCAATGCTAGTTTTTATGAACCTGCCATTTTAGGATTGTACAGATACTGGAAAAGTCCTTCCTCAAGAATACCAAGTTATATGTGTATTATCAGTAGTAAGAAATAGGTTTGTTTGAGAAGTACTGTTTTCCATATGTTAACATTCTAAAGGTTTATGTGATAAACCATGTTGTCAATATAAAGTGCTCGATGAGGGTATTATAATTAAGATACACATATAATGTTATTTTAACGCGTTTAAACTAGAAAAGACAAGAATAACTGAAATAGCACAACCCCTATGGTTAAGTGTTATAGCAGATATATACAACAATAATTTAACTGGAAATTATCTATGGAAATGGTGCTAATTGTGTTCTAAACTATTAAAATTGACAATGTCAGTTTGTGGAAGTCAATGAATAAATAAAAACAGAAATAAACCTGAAATTGATGGTGAGCGAAAAATTTTACAACTGACGTTAACGTTATAAGACCCATTATTTAGAAAACTTTCAACATTTCACATATACACAGAGCTTTATTTTTTTGTAGTGTTTTCCTATATAGTTCCCTTTAATCTGACAAAATTTTATTTTTAAACATTTAAAAATGAGAAACTCATAAGATTTTGTACAAGAGATGGCACATAAAACGAGCAACAATTGTAGATTAATTTTACGTTAGTGTTACTATCAGTTTCACGTAGTTAGATCTTTCAAATGTATGCACTTGCAACAGAACTAGCTATGTTCCGTTTTATTTTAATGATAGTTTTTAACGGAGGCTCCAAAGTTCAACAAATCTTAGTACTTGTTTATTTGTTTGCTTGTAATTAAGCACATAGCTACACAAAGGGCTGTATGTGCTCTGCCCACCATGAGTATCGAAACCCGGTTTCCAGCGTTGTAAGTCCGCAGACATGTCGCTGTGCCATTGGAGGGCGTGTTATTACTACATGCAAGCAATTTGTCACAGCAAAAGAGGCCTTCGTGCGATGTTTCTTAAGTCATAGTTAAAAGAAGACTTCAAAAATTTAGCATTAGGACTTAAAACAGAGTTTCCATGTTTTAGCAGTCTTTACCCGAGAAAATATAAATATAAACCTATACTTGCTGGGCATCAAAGAATTATAATATGAATCATTAATCAGATTATTTGACTGTGAAATGTACCGCGAGTGCCAACAACATAAATGTCAGCCATCTTTGCACAAGTATTACTTTTTTTACAAGCTTTTGATTAGTCCTTTACCAAACATTTTAGCGTTTTTTTTAACCGTACTAAGAGGAATGAAAATTAATGAAGAATAATCATTCGCATAAACATAGCTGTCTTTATTGCATGTGCTTTAAATAAGTTTAAATATTCTAAAACTGATTTTTTCCAGTAAGGACTAGAAATACTATGGTTACTTTTAGCTAGCCTTTGCAATAACCTATGAGTTGTCGAAAGTTTGGTAACGAAATCTGGCACATTTCTCTTTTAGTACAAGAAAAAAAAACTACGTTTCCTGCCAAAAAGAAAGAAGGAAACTAAAACTCTTACACCTTTAAAATCAAGTAAATTAGTAACTTGCTCTACTCATAGTCCTATTTAATGTCTTCTAATAATACAGTATTTGTTTGTTAACCAACCGTCTTTTATGAAGAACATATAGTACAAACTGCGTGTTCACAAACGTGTCGTAGTCTTACACCTAGTTAATACTTTTGCTACATCAATATTTAATTTAGAATCAAATTGTAGGAAAAAACGGATAAAAGTTTGTTAGGGCAGACAAAGAATTCCTCCTGAAGCTGTCGGATTAACATGCGTTTATAAGGTTTTATTTGGAAACAAAATGACTTTTTAAAAAATTTTTAGCCTTAAGAAAAAATATACTTCGGTATATGAAAGATGGAACTATGTGATGTTTGTGCAAAAATGCGTCTGATGTTTTCAGACAAGTGGCTTTTTCGGTTTGTTTTGAATTTCGCGCAAAACTACACGGGGGTTATCTGCTCTAACCTTCCTTAAATTAGCAGTGAAAAACCAGAGGGAAAGCAGCTAGTCACCACAACTCACCACCAACTCTTGGGCTACTATTTTACCAACGAATAGTGAGATTCACCGTCACATTATAATGTCCCCACGGCTGAAAGGGCGAGCATGCTTGATGGAATTCGAACCCGCGACCTGCATATTACGTATCGAGCGCCCTAATCATCCGGCCATGCTAGGCCTATTTTCCAGACAAAAGAAGTCCTTAACAGGCAACGAGAAAAATGCTATAAAAAAGTTCAAATCCTCCCATAGATCTGAAAGGGGAAGGATAAGGATAAGCTTTTTGCTCTGTCGTTGCGCAATTTTAGTCTGTATAAATTTTATCTTATTTTTTAAAAATAAATATACTTCCTGTAATAAAACTTGTTTTATCTTAGTCAGTAAATCTTACCATATAATGCACGTGGATTAGGAATTTCAAATTACCTACTGTGCCTGGTAGTAATTATTATTACAGTTTGTTTGTTTGTTTGAAGTTAAGCACAAAGCTACACAATGGGCTATCTGTGCTCTGCCCACCACGGGTATCGAAACCCGGTTTCTAGCGTTGTAAGTCCGCAGACATACCGCTGTGCCACTGGGGGGCTATTATTACAGACACTGCTTATGAGCTAATCTTCCGATATTATACTCCTTTGCTTTTACACATTCTGGAGACACATGCAACGAGCTTCAATTGGCTTATTAATAATAACATTCAAAATGCAACGTTGAAATCGATTTCACTTCGGATCTGTGCCTTTAAAAACTTATCTAATTTAAAGCTACATATGCGCTAGGCTACAACGGCAGTCATGTTCAGGAAAACGATCGTTATTCTTAAAACTTAAAATATCATCATTACCTACAAAATATTATATTTTGTTTTTTTAGGCTTAGCTACAATAAAAGTTTAAGATAATATGGTAACAGTAAATGTAGAAATATATCACTAGAACTTGTTTTGCCTTTCAAAAATGTTTTATTATATATAGTATTCAACGTTGGAGATAGTATTAGAAATTTATGGAATATATATTTTCTTGTATGTTAGTATCATACATTACCAGCGTGATTGTTGGTTTATTATTCTTTATATCTGTCTATATGCAGGCTCCACCACTTTTCAGTTATAAAATCTAGGTATTCTATACATTATAAACATATAAGTGCCTCGTGGTTTAATTCGCAATTTCATGTATTTTATTTGTAAACAGTATATACACATATATATAATATAGAACGTATTACTTCTGTGTACACTTAAACGAAACCAGTTTTCAGTTTAAAAAAATAAAGTTTCTTCTGTGTGCTCAACAGATTAGTGGCTTGGAAAATAGACTTTACTCAGTTTTTTTTTCAATTCTTGCACCACGTAATTGTCAAAATCAGATTGTCTAATCCCAGTCTTTCTCATTTTCCAAAGTATCTTAATTCGAATTTTCGCGCAAAGCTACACGAGGGTTATCTGCGCTGGCTGTCCCTAATTTAGCAATGAAAGACTAGAAATAAGGCAGCTAGTCGTGACTACCCACCGCCAACTCTTAGGCTACTCTCTAACTAACGAATAGTGGGATTGACCGTCACATTATAACTCCCTCGGGGGAAAGGGTGAGCATGTTTGGTGGGACGGGGATTCGAACCCGCGACCCTTAGATTACGAGTATCTAGACTAAGCAGCCAATCTTATAGAAGTGTAATGGACAGTTAGAACCAAATAGGCGTTGTTTTTTTTTCTTTTTCAAAGAAAAGGTTTGATATTCTTTCATTATGCCCTCGTTTGAGAAGTATCTTTGCCAGTTTTCAGGGGATGGATAAAAAGAAATCGTCGTTATATGAGTTAAAGCTAGGAGTTTTAATGTCAGAAATTTTATGTTTAACCTAATATTACATAACTACAACCTCAAAGTTCAAAAGTTAATAATGAAAAAAATAACAAAAGAAAAAAATCATGAGTTTTACTCTTTATCATGAAATCAACCTAAAAGTTCTTAGAGAAAGTTATATTGAAAAAGCAGTACTTTGAACACAAAAATTGAAAGTTTCATAATGTTTTCTACAGCTGCAAGAGGCTTCGAATGACTCCATTTTAAATGCGTTACACGTAACAGTAAGAGTCCTCAGGATGTACGAAAGGAAATGGATCAATAAGAATGCCTTGAAGAGTGAAGTTTCAAGATTAAATTAAGCTTGCTGAAATGTGGCGTGAATAATATGCAAAATATGTCTGTGATAATTCGAAAATTTTACAGCAGGGTTAAATTTTTCAAATACATCTTTTAGCAACATTCTCTGAAAAATGTTTGTTAAAAAAAAGAATTTTTCTACAAAACGTTCGCTTATAATTCATAAATAAATACTTTTATACCTTTTTTCCCCCCTAAAAACTATTGGTTTTAACCTTTATTATAAACACAGTTTAAAACTGTAGTGTCAAGATAAGCTTAAATATAATTTATCTCGCTTCTCTCTTTAGTTCGTATTTTTTCCGTTAGGTTTAAAACAAATTATTAAAACAAAGGCCGCCTGGAGGGTCACCTGTTTTAATCACTTTCACCCCATTACTGTAGGATGTTGTCTGTCAGTCAGTCAGTAGACAATAAAATGATGTCACATAAGAGACGCTTAACGTTGCGTTGCAATTTGCACTGTTGTGACGTCAGTAAAACGTGCGCATGCCATGAATCACGAGAAGAATTATGCACTCCGTAAGATACAACGCAGCATGACATATGAACTTCAAAAGCAAGAAATATTTATTACTCTTAATTTTGGTTGTATTTACTCTTGAAACAGAACACTTTCGAGAACCCTGCGAAAGTACATCTAGTATATATATAAACTCGGTGATAAAATGTGTCATTATGTTTTGGTCATCTGGAGTTATTCTAAGAGCCCATACAAAGTTACACTTTTTTTATTTATAAGTAGTTCGTATATCACTATATATGTATCATTTTGCAATATATCATTAAAAACATAGAAAAAAACTTACGAGTATTCCCGGCCCAGGCTCGACGAAAATACCGCAACAGTCGCTGGTATAAAGAAACAACAGAAAATACTGCCCCCATAGGGCACCAATCGTGAAGCTTATAGTTTTGGTTCAAGGGTACGATTGGATCGCTGGTTTCATCTTCATTGTTCTGTTGTTCTTCAGTCATCTAGTTACAGGTGTCTACTAAGAAGCGTTCTCACGTGCAATGATTGGACCAGATAACTGCAAACTGAAAGACATGGGTATATGTGTATCAATAATTCTTTCTTAAAGATGACGTTTGTTTTTTAAAGACAACATAGCTTTTAGGGTTATAAAACAGGTTAAATGAATCGATAATATATTGGTAAAGACTTTAAATGAATACATCTTATTATTGATGATTTGTTTGATTATTGTTTTATTTCATTTGTTTAATTATTGTTTGAAGTTAAGTAGAAAGCTACACAATGGGCTATCTGTGCTCTGTTTCAAGCGTTGTAAGTCCGCAGACATACCGCTGTGCCACTGGGGGCTTAAATGATGTGAAGTTATGCCAACAGTTATGTCCAGCATACAATTTTTATCACTTGATAATATGAATGATTAGTTAAACGATTAATATTATTTTGTTTTTTCTTACAGCGCTAGAATCCGGGTTTCGATATCCGTGGTAGGCAGAGCACAGATAGCCAACTGTGCAGCTTTGTGTCTAATTACAAACAAACAAACAAATTTACACAATTAAAAGTTTAATAAAGCCGTTAACGTCTTTCACTCAAAAACACTTTTTAAGTCTTCTAAATAACTCCTGAAGACGACGTCGTCTAAACGTGTAACACGTAACAAAGAAATAAATTATTTTAATTATTTATTTGATCGTAAACATTACACAAGTGTCGATCATTTGTATATAATCCACTAATATTTTGTATGCACTTTAAACATAGAACTAATATACCATAAGTTTATCAATATATGTTTAAAAAATGTTGTTTCAAGTGACATGTGCTTCTCCCAACAATTCAACTGAATTGTTTGGGTGTTGTTTGAATGCCTTAATTTTCATATAAGTCCAAACAGCCTTAATAATATTCATATAAGGACTTTACCAACGAATCAGTAATTGTCAGTATTCCATCGATTGGGACTTTACCAACCAATCAGTGATTGCTAGTGTCCCATCAGTCTCTTTGGGATTCTATAGATCATTTCACTGCATTTGTTGTATGATTGAGACTACTGTTTTATTGAAAGATGAATCTTTGCTCAATATATCTTATTCCTGAAGGAATGGCATGATGGGTAACAATGGTCTTGTACCTGTTAGTAGTGAGGATGCCATCATTTTCGTGTAGATCTTCAACATCATTGGCTAAGATACAGCCAACACTTATACTGGGCTCACAGTATGCTTCTCTATAGCTGTATGTCTGCCATCGAACACACTATTGTTGATTTCTGTTAAACAATTTTAATTTAAATTATTCTGTCCATTCTTCTTCAGCTTTAATCACCCACTGTTTGCAATCTACTGTAGTTCTTTGATTATATCTCTTAAGCAGTGGTTTTTGACCATCTGCACGTTCACCGAGGCCACTTCATGCTAATGTGTAGCATATTATTCTGGAGGTAACGTTTACACCTATACTTACAGCTAGGAAATTGGAAAAAGGAAAAAAAGTGTTGTATTGTCAGAAATGACGTAACAGTATACCTTGAGTTACTTAACATCACTTATAAAGAGTTTTGACTTTCTACGTCGATAGCTACTATTATCAACATTACTATTTTAACGTGTTTCCTCTTCAGAGTTCCATACATTACCAACTGAAGCATGAAATGTCGCCTCTATCTTTCGCAGTTTGATTTCTACTGATTCGTCATCTGACATTGCAATGACTAAAATAGATATGAAATTTCACCTTTCCATGAAACGTATAACATATATTCTTATTCAAATACAGTATAATGATGTAAGTAATGCAAGTAATATGAGTGTTGTTTTTAAAGGACTGTCGAAAGGTCGCAGAAATATACTAATTCTTTTACTCATGTAAATGTTACATATACCAAAGTCTAAATACCTATATCACGTAGGCTTTATAGTCTCCTACTATCCTTCTTTCCCGAGGAAGGGTGAGTGAGCTTCAAAGATGACACAGATACATGTACATATTAGTATGAGTTAGGGGTATATTTTATTATATATGTTATTGGGGATAGTAGGTGACGAATGCAATATTGGATTTTGGTATACTGCACATAGTTTTTGTCTTAATTTCGATGATAGATTACAATGTTCTTTGCCCTTGCCCTGTGCGGATTTGAATTATTTTTTTCTTAATTTTGTCTCTCATCACATAAGCTAGACAGCTTAGGCATGGTTTGTAGCATTTGTGAATAAAGTTTCGTTATACTTGTTCACATTTGTTTCTATTCCCTTTACTGATACTGTTCCATTTATTCTCTGTATAAAACTTCCAGAATCTGTTTTGCCGATTCTTTTAACCTTATCTGCTATATATCAGTGAGCCTGAATAGCTCAGAATTTCTGTTCTGGAAGCCATGTGTGCATTGATCTTAGCACTACTGGGAATAGTATGATGGGCTGTACTTTTATTGGCATGATGCTGATATGTGACATTGTCTGATTTGTTGGATGACAGCCAGTCACAGCATAAACTATAAGCACGTGACTGTAATCTGCTGTAGTTTATTTTCATACAATAAAGGAGGATCAATACCATAATATTTACATTCTACGTTCAGTATCATTATCTATTTCCATATTTATCTTCAGTACTGTACGTCATATAGTCAAAACAACACTTATACAAAAAAATTCCTTTCCAAACTGAATCTCTTTAAAAAAAACATTTCAACGGCAAACGACTAGCAAAAAATAAAGAACGAAACACCAGGTACGTGTTTAGAAGATAAACATCTAGTTGTTGTTAGGCAATCGATGAACGAAATACGTAATCTGTTTGATCTGTCTCGAACCACTGAATTCGATTTAACTTTTTCTGAGAAAACAACCGTGAATAAATTAGCAGAACAATCTTTGCTATATTACATGCGGGTAACATATTTTTCTGAATAAATGTTTCAATAAATCAAAGATACCTATGTATGTATGTTTAATGTTATTTCTACATCGGGATGATGTATCTGATTATGCTCTAAGTTACTTTAACAACATTCTTGCCATATGGTGATGCGTTTAGTTGATATTTAAGGCAATCAAAATGGCATGTTCAGCAACGCCTTATGACTAAAATTTCGTATTCAAATTTGATTTACGTTTATTTCGGAATTCTAAAAACTAAAACAGCACTAAGCGATAAAACTGACATAATTGGACTTACTAACAGGTGATTCTTGTATAAGTAATGGTATCATTCAAACAATAAAATGGTGTCTCTTTGAACACACATACACACACCCTGTGGCTGAGCGGTAACTCTGAAGATTTACAATGCTAAAAACCGAGTTTCGATAACCGTGATAGGCATAATACCGATAACTCATTATGTACAATAGTCTTTGAACAATATTCATGAACAATTGTATTTTTATCATTCGATGTATATGTTCATAGTGTTGATTCAAAACATATTTGCTTCTTATGCTATACTCTAAATTCTACAAAATATAAAGTGAAAACAAACAAGACTTTTCAAATGTTATATATACTTCTCTCTTGCAAAAAACGTCTGCATGCTAGCTGAAAATTTTTTGTATGAAACTTTCATTGGCAGTGAAACCTAGAAAATAGACCTTAATTTTCCACCAAAAATATAATATTTCCTATTTGTGGTAGAGAGTTAAAGTCTGCTTCGTTGATGGAGTGTGTTTATTGGTTAATTCACTTTTTGTAATAAATAATATGAATTTTAAACAACATTTGAATGTAGATTTGTAAACCTATTTCCCTCGGTTGTAATTAAGCACAAAGTTACACAATGGGCTACACGTGCTCTGCCCACCACGGGTATCGAAACCTGGTTTCTAGTGTTGTAAGTCCGAAGACATATCGCTGTGCCACTGGGGGACGATATTTATCTGCCCACCTCGGGTATCGAAACCCGGTTTCTAGTGTTGTAAATCCGAAGACATACCGCTGAGCCACTGGGGGACGATATTTATCTGCTCACCTCGGGTATCGAAACCCGGTTTCTAGTCTTGTAAGTCCGAAGACATACCGCTGTGCCACTAAGGGTGGGGCAATATTTATGCTGATACACAAGCGAATCACGTAGCTAAATCAAAGTAAGTGCTCACACATTTTTCACTATGAAATAAGAATTCTGTTCATATTGTTAAAGTGCGTAAACATTTAACAGACTTATTAAGAAAGTTTTATAACAGTACTTTTTAATTACATACACGCCAAAAACATTACTGGTAAAGCTTGTTTTGTAAGTTACGTCAATGGCTATATTCGAAATAACAAAGTATGGGAAATAACTCTATGGGATAAAAGCTTAAAATGCATTTAAGGACTCATATAGAAGTTCATGTGTACTATATTAGGTTTTCGTCTTCTTCTTTAGGCTAAGCCTAGAAAGAAATTACGTTATAGGTTAGTCAAGATGTTCGTTAGGGTTTTGGTTTGGTTTGTTTCTATTGAAATTCGCACAAAGCTAAACAAGGGCGTAACTGCACCTGCCGTCCCTAATTTAACAGTGGTAAACTAGAGTTAAGGCATCTAGTCAACAACCACCCACATCCAACTCTTGGGCTACTCTTTTACCAACGAATAGTGGGATTGACCGTTACATTATAAAGCCTCCACAGCTGAAAGGGCAAGCATGTTTGGTGTGACGGGAATTCGAACCCACGACTCCCAAGTTTACGAGTGGAGCGCCCTAACCAATAGGCCATGCCAGGCTGGCATTTTGGTGTAAATGTTTTGTTGCTTTTGCTTTCTAGGCTTAGCTACTATATTTATATAAGCATTGAAAACTAAAACTGACACATTGAAAAAACAAACTATTTATTAGAGGGCTAATTATAGAGGGCTAATAATTCTCTTGAATATTTTAACTACTAACCCTTGTCACAAAAGATGCCTTTATATAAACAAAATCTGAATTTTGATCTTAAAATGAATATTACACATACACACTAGTACTTTGACACGTGTGCAAGCAAACCCAGTCAAAAAAAAAAATTGATACGAATATTAGTTATTCAAAATTTTCTATTTATCCTAGTGCAGACCAAAATAACAAGGCAGCAACT